ACATCTGCAAGACTATTTTTTGTTAATGCTATTCGCACCTGGAACTCGATTCCATCTCATATTCGTAATAGTTTGAACATAAGCAACTTTAAGAGTGTTTTGTATTCTTATTTTCGTTAAAATGCTATTTCATATCCAAAGTTATACCCTTTCCTCTGAGGCTCGCTATCTAGTTAGGTATAGGGTAATCAATACATTATTCTTATGTTTTTTCTTATACTCCACTTGTGATTCTCTATAGAGTTTTGTAAGTTTTTGTTGTTCCTGTTTTTGACTTATATATTACTTAATTTTAAACATTAACATATTGTAATTCTTTATTATAAGTTACAGTTGTACTATAAAAGATCATTGGGATCTTATTGTGCTAATGTTATATTTTATAATAAATGAAATGAAATATGTATATGTCCGGGCTGTTCTTCAGATAGTTCAATGTCACGGGATATTATGGGCCATAATATAACTAGGGAAAATAATAAAACGGTTTTTATTATGAAAATAGCTTCTATATGTTTAGGTTTCTACCACACAGTCATTGATGTAGTTTTCTGTTGAAAATTTTTTGACACTGGAGCAGGCGGAACTGAATACTTAATTTTGCACATATAATTATTTACCATTGAATTTTAACTATTATTTGTAAAGAAACATCAACTTAGCATATGAAAATACTGATTAACTAAAGGCTATTATAATCGCATACAGCGCAAAGTTTTACTCTTCTTTAATGGAGCTAAAATGAGGAAAAACATTTTGCACATACATATGTACATATAATTATTTTACTGGGGTAGTAGCGTAAGTAAACCTTTGTCGAAAAAAGAACGAACGTCATCAAGAATTTTTAACACAGCCGTTGAGCAGCTTTGACCAATCCCAAAGCCAGATTGAAGCGGATAGAGCAGGTTCTTTTCCTGCGCATGACGTGTAATTTGTTCCGCCATTAAAGACTCAAATACTTTTAACAGCGTTGGTAGAATACTTATAGGGTGAAAGTCCAATGGAGTCTCGGCGCCCTTCTTTGCAGTAGCGCGCACTAAAGCCACCTTCCACTTATCAGGTAAACACGGTTATCGTACTGATAATAGATGATAGTACCATTTTAATAAATTTTAACGGTATACCGTTCTGACGGCATGTATTCGATTTTATTTTTAAAATACATACATCTAATGACATCACACTCAGATACTATTGAGAATTCAAATGGGCTACCAGAATAACATAGGTGGTCAGAAGGGACAAAACATTGTGGGTATGAATCAGACAAAGGACTAATGAACAGGTTTAGAATTTTTAACGGAGTCGGTAGGTATCGTAGATACAAAACTTCTTGTACAAAAGTCATGGCTGAAGACACTCACGTTGCATGCATTATAACGCAAATTTGTGTTATTTCCCAATTGAATGTGAAGTAACACAAATTTGCTTTATTTCATTTCTCGTTGAGCAATAAGACCAACTTTTAAACTTAACAATTGAGTAATAAAGCAAAATAGTGCACATATGTGAGTAGTCACCAGGTGAACTAATATTAGAGTGAGAGGAAAGATTTTGACACAGCCTTATTTAAAAATTTGCCTATAAAATGTGACTATATGGCAGCCGAATGTCAGAAAATAAAGCGAGAGAGCTGTTTTATTACTTCACCTGTTTATTGCGCCATTCATCCCACCTGCTTGTATGTAAAATTTTACATATTTTTACACAACTGTTTGGTACCACGTGTTCGCTTCGTCTTCGTAAACGAAATCTGCAGTTCGGAAATAGTGAAGCAAGTGAAGATAACTGAAGATAAATCTCAAAAAAATATTCTCTTTGTTATATGCTGCGTTCCATGCAAACATTTTAAGGTTTTCCAGCAATATTTTCAACATATTAGAAAGCATGCAGACAAAATTCATACAAAAGCGCTATGTCCAATTTGCCGATTAAAGACGACGCTTTCCCTACATTTTGTTAGGCTAAGTAAAAATATTTTGTGAATATTACTTTCTTCATATGAATAAATATCACGTTTTTTGTTTAATTGTATTTTTGGAATAAACAAAGTTCTTTTTCCTTCTGTCAGTAAACTGTTTTTCTTACAAATAGTACAAATAAGCAATAGGAAATAAAGCCAAATTCCAACCTTTGTTGGAAATAAAGCAAATCTCATATTTTGGTATTATTTCCCATTTAAAAGTGAAATAAAGCAATTTTTGCGTTATTGCTGTTTGTGTTATTTAACCCCCCATCAAATCAAATGAAAGAACGTCACTCACAGAACACAGCAGGTCAACGACAAGCGAAAACCTTACAACAATAGATCAGATAAGGTATATGACCTTCATTTTATTATCCACGTACCTACATGCTTACATAGTTAGAAAAAATTTGCACAGTTACGTAAGTTACTCGACCTGTACTAGGTAACTTGAATTGTTCATTTCCATTGCAGCACAGTGTAAATAAGGGGCATGGAAAGTCGTCAAATGAAGTTTACACATATATAACATACATATGTATATGCATATACACATTGCCTAATTCACTCCAAGGCCACACTAAACTACTTAAATTACATAAGTAACAAATTCCCCAACATATTGCACAACGGGCGTCTTTGACGGTGGATCCTGGATAGCGGCAATTTGTTACCACTACCTACAATTACATACACAATTGTACGTGTAAAGCCAATATCACCCAAATATGGTGCTGCATTTGTATATGCCCCAGTAGAAATTTTATGCATACGACATCGCTGTTGGTGGCATGAGCTTGCTGCTGTGTATACATGCCAGTATAAATGAACCTTCATTTCCATTTAACACGTGTGGTTTCTCAGAGCGTATGCGTACTCTAACCATACACTTGTACTACTGCTGTATGCATACGGCTGTATTAATGTTTCAAACATACAAAAATGCATTAATGGATCAGTATTAAAGCATTCTTACAAGATATGTATCCCCATATATAAATGCTACTTTTCTGATACATTTTAATATACGGGGACATAAAAACAAGTAGCATTTACATATGCAAATGCATATCTTGTAAAAGCCCGTTTGTGCTGAAAATAGTATCCATTCACTAAAATTTTTGTACATTACTGAAAATACTACGAAAATTCCACTTCAAATTTATCAAGAAATGTGCTTAAAAAAACGACAACGTACATTCGCTTGCAATTCGCTAGAATTTGAATTTATTCGTGGTAACTCACGACTACGCATGAATTGTTCACACTAATTCTCTCATATAGCAAGCATTCTTCATGAATGCATACAACCGATTTTTACTGGCGCGTTGCATACCCTGCAGAAAAAATTATCAATTGATAAAAAATACCCACTTGTAGTTAGCTTTTCTGTGGGATCTCTATAAAATATATAGCTTGTAGTTAAATGCTATCTTGAACCTAGTTGAAAAGTTATGCAGGAGTAATGCAGACGTAATCGGAAGATTGTTTTCTTTAAACAAGTTTCTATTTAAATATCCTCAAACAAATTTTACTTTAAATACACTTTTTTCTGCACTTCACAAATACTTTTTCGAATCCAGGACAAATAAAGGGAAAAATTTTGTGTTATCATTTTGGAGTTATGTCTGACTTAGCTCGAATATGGGATCACCTACCATCAGAATATGTAAACAAATATGTAATGTTTAATAAAGTAAATGAATAAACAAGTAAACATATAAAAAAAAACTATTTATTTTCTTATTAATATTTTATGTCCAAAAAGAGGGTTACCTTGACTACTTCGCGATCATCGCCATAGAAATATAACTACCTTTCCTCAAAGAAAATATACAGATGATAGTGACCTTTAGTTCCTTCCTAATCAGCTTCAAGTTTACTTATAGTTAGATACATTTCCTGCAGGGTATGTACTATATATAAAAACCTTATTGCATACATACATATGTATGTATTTCTGTGACGTTTGTTTTGTAAAAAAGTTGTTACGCTCTGTCAGGGACAAGTATCATTTTGACTAAAACCGGAGAGTGTCACAACCCAACAAACATTTAGGTTTGAGCTCAACTTGAGGTTAAGTTGAGAACTAAGGCATTTCTCAAATCTCCAACGGTGTTTCTCAACAGCACCTCAAGTGTAGGATCATAGCGTTCCAACAAAAAGGGCATTTTTATTTGTTTAAAGGACTGTTTCTCAAGTTGAGAAAATGCTAGTAATTCTCCAATTGGTCTCAAACATAGCATTGAAATACTGAAATTGAAATAGTAAAATACCTTATACCTTTTTGATTGAAACGACATATATAGACGGATTTAAATATAAATTTTTCATTTTATTACTCCTTTTTAACCGACTTCCAAAAAAAGGATAACTTTGGACCACGTCAACCGATTTCGAAATTTTTTTTTTGCATCGGAATCAGAGGTGGTCCCATACTAATCTGGTTATGAGATATATATATAAATATATTTTTTTTTTATATGAGAGTTGAAGTCGGTTTCTTTTTTGCTAAAAATTACTTGTGTATTATGTAGTTGATCAATATCGTATTACAATAATTCACTTCACAGTATACAGTCCGACAGTAATTTTGCCACTTGATTCACTTCGCGTTTTATTTTCTTTCAAGATTATTTGAGGATACTTTGAAGATTATTTATTTTTTGCTGGTAATTTTCCGCTTTATATAGCTTTAGTTTTTCACATATCTGCGCTTCGTATCAACTTGAGAACTATGAATTTCCCCAAGGTTGGAGAAATATTTTTTTGTATTTTTTGGTGTTTATTGGGAATAACTAGTTCCGGCTATGCTTCCCGCGCACACTATTTATTTAGCCAACAGTATTTTCAACCGGTATTTCTGTATGGAAAAACAAGACACTGCTGAAACTTTTTTAACCGAGTTTTCACCAAAATTTTCTTTGTTTTTTATTTTAAAATAATGTAATATGTAGTACAGGATTATATGTGAAAAAACTAAATTTTCATTTCCCATTCGGACGCTCTGGAAGCAAGTTGCAAAATCTAACTTAAACTTCGAAAACGAGAGTGATTGAAGATACTTTCAGTGTGGATATATTACAAGCATATATTACACAATGTTTAAGTAAGTGAAGTGATTATTTTTAATGAAATATAGACAATGCAAGTGTCTGTATGTTTGCGCAAATGCAAGTGCATCGCTGCTTAGTGAAAAGTCATGCTACAAGAAAAGCTGTATTAAGAAGAAGCTGTTAAATATCTTGCTGTAGTACCTATTTGACTTTATTTAAAGATCAATATGTATGTATGTACTTATGTTATAGTTTAAATTATAGAACTAGATGTCAGAATTTGCAATTTTTTATTTTGCTCGATCATGCGGCCATTCAGTGGTAAGGTGAATTTCTTGCTGCCATACTTAAAAAAGCAGCACCGCTACGTCAAGTGCAGAAATAACAACAACAAAACGCATAGGATTGTTTGTCAAAATCGGTTTTTCCAACTCATCAGCGTTGGCGCCGCGTGATTTCGGTATGCTTCATACAAATTGTAATGGCATGAGAATATTTTTACAGCCAGGCAACGCTGACGCTTTTGTTTAGATATGGCAGTGATGTATCAAATATAATGGCTGAAATGCAATATCGGCAAACGGCGAAGTTCGCCGAATTGGGCGATACCGACGTTCACCGTTCATCCTGCTATTTCGCTTACGAAACGTAGCGAAAACAGCTGACACCATTTCGTCGCATTTATAATTCGGGTGACTATGTTTTAAAAACCGAATCCACGTGGAAATAATAACGAATCTAAATATAAAACAGAGAGAAATTTTTATACATTATTTTATTTTAAGCCAGATTTTATGAATCGATAACTGCCTTTTTAAACAACCAAAAGAACTCGTGTTATATGTATGTCGATTTCTTCTAAAACTTTGAAAGCCTAAAAAATACGGCCATCTTTGCATTGACTGCAGCGGTGCCCAACTTCGTATTTCTCTGTGGCTGTGATCAATTTCATATGCACCAGTGTTCTAATTGTGACAGTGCGAGTTTCGCTGTGGCAACATCGTCGTTCGCCGGTATTGTGTTTCAGTCATTGCAATACTAGTTTTACCTGAAATAAAGTAACGCTTCTGTTATGTATTAACATTGACTGTTAAATTTAACGACAAGAATAATCACAAAATGTGTGCATACATGGGGAAAATTACCCAATACAGAGTTACCGAGTACAAAACTCGGTGTGAATACCCCTATTAAATAAAGCAATTTTGAAATTTGCCTTACAAACTGTAGCACAATGACCGATTATTGGATAAAAAATATTGATTTTCAGATCTAATATTTAAGTTGTATTTAAATGCACGATGTCGGCTATTTAAATTTGGAAAATTAAACCTGATTTCCGAATACGTATTCCTAATCACCTTTTTTACAGAAAAATGTTGCCGTCTCAGTACCCTCTACGCTCTAATAACACCAGGGACCGAAACTAACAGTATTTTTTTTCTAAAGTTACCTTGGCAAAATAAGTATTTATAGAAGTCAATTCCTGATAATAAACAAACCGCTTATCCAAATTCAACAAGTTTGGTATCATATGGAAAAGGACTAAAATATAGAGTCCGACCGATTAATCGGCATCGGCTAGTATCGGCCAAAAGAATCGACGTCGGCATCAGCATAGGCCGATTTTGGCCGATTCTTAGCTGATTCTTTTTACTTTTTTTTCGCAATTTTAACAAATGTTCACCAAAATTTTAAACTGTTAAATCAGTTTTTTTTTAATTTTTTGAGTGCGCAGTTTTTTAAATTATAGTATAATAAAGGGCGAATTTGAAGTAGCTAGGTAAGTGTTGATTTTTGACAATTTTTGTTCACGCATTTTCTTCCAAACAAAGTATGTTCGAATTTTTTTGGTATGGTGAAAATCCGCTCAGATTTGTGGTGTGCGCCTTGATGTTGTCACACAAAACGGAGGGACCTACAGTTTTACGCCGACTCCGAACGGCGATTGTATTTTTTATGAGAAGCTGTTTTTCATGGCAGAAATACACTCGGAGGTTTGCCATTGCCTGCCGAGGGACGACCGCTGTTAAAAAAAAAAACCTTTTTTCTATATTTTTTTGCGATGTTGCTTTGACCAGGGCTTGAACCCAGGTGCTGCGCAGTGGAAGCGCGCACTGCATACCACTACACCACAGATAATACTTTTATCATTAAAAATAAATAAGTGAATAGATTCTTGAATGATCATTTGTTTTGTAATGTTATTTGTTTATGTTTTTCTTTTGTTATTATAAAAGTTTATCAAAAACATTTGTTATTGAATAAATTTATATTCAGGTGGTTTTTTTTAAGGAATCGCTCTCCCTGGTGTCAACAATGACCCGGTTCTATAGTAAATGTCCTAGAAGCTTTACAGTATAGTTGGTGGCACTTTCAAAATGGGTGCGAATCATTGTTCTACAGAAATGCAATATACATATACTTGTTTTAGACGAAATACCTTAGAAGTTTGAACGCATAATAATATTGGAAAATCACATCCATTGGGCCAATTGCAACGCAGGACCGTCGATATACTCAATGGTGCAACAGGTCGATTTAATCTGACCTTCACGGCCCCTTTTCTCACTTGGCTATTTTTAGTAATAGCTCGACTTCAGCACCACTTGGAAGCACGTTTTTGCAATAGTATTGCATACAT